AGAGAGAGAGAGAGAGTAGAGTCATTAGCAGGGTTAATCCAAACACTTCTCCTCGAATCAACTGCGGATCATTGATCTTTTCTTCTTTCGGTACATTTAAAGCTCGCGAGTAACCCTGCTGGAAAGATAATAATGGAAAATAGATCGTTGAGACAGATAGAGCGAAGAGAAGGAGACAGAAGACGGAAGAGAGAGAGAGAGAAGAGAAAGAGACAGAACGCGAAGTGAAGAACAGAGAGAGACAGACAAGACAGAGAGAGAGAGAGAGAGGAGGAGAAGAAGAAGAAAGAGAAACAGACAGAGAAGAAAGAGACAGCAAGGAGTCTCGCAGTTCCGGTTGCAGAATCGGTCGGTGGAGGCCACTACTTACGAGCTTCCTTCGGAACTAGAGATCGAGTTGAGACTTCCGGCTGTGTCACTGGCCACCGATCCCGATTGTTTCCCGGATTCAAAGCGCTGATATGGTACAATCTCCTCGGAACGTTGTATGCTGCTCGGCGTGCTGTTGCGTTTCCGGCTCGATATACCGGCGCGTGCCTCCGCGACACCACTTCCGACGAAGACCCCGCCGACACTGCATTCTGCGTTGTAAACCAAACAAGAAACAACCGCTAAAGCTATAATCTTTCATTTTCATCCCGGTATCGCGTCTGCCGCAGCCCTTTCTTTTCTCTTTTAATCCAGCTCCAGGTGGTCCCCCTGCCATCTTTCTTTCGCGATTCTAATCACGATTCTACTAACTTTCTCTCTCTCCCTCTCTCGCGCTCCCTCTTTCGCTCGCTCGTTGGCTCACGCATATCTTTCGATCTCACCTCTCATTCGAATTTTCTCTCTCGTGACGAAATTAAGAAAAATGATAATAAGGAGAGAAAGGTACACACACACACACACGCCCAAGATACAGCTCGTGATCGAGAAACTCATTTCAACTCAGTCAGATATAATGAATGATATAATCGATGAGGGTTGGAAGGCAGACAGACGTAAGGGAAGGAAGGGTGGCTTTTTTCTTTTTCTTTTTCTTTTTTTTTTTTCCTCTCTTTAGAGTTGGTCAATTACCACGTAGAGAAAGAAAGACTTCGTCAACCTGTGTTGTCGGGTTAAGCTTTGAGATTCGATGATATGGATGATCCCACACAAGGAAGCCTGCAAAAGATCTCGTTCCTCGATGGAGCTAAACGTTCGCTGTCTGGAAGAAAGAATACGATAGGGCAATGGTTAACGGCCAACGGGAATTCGAGCGTCTCCCCACAGCTCTTCCCAACTCCGTTTCTCGAGCTCGCGCTTGCAGTCAAAAGCGAGCAAAAAAAAAAAGCGTCACAAGCTTGAACGTATTTTCCGAATGTATGCTTCCTTCAACGAAACGTCACATCTATGGTTCCGGCTACGGTTGAAAACATTGGCCTCGCTGCGCCAACTACGTATATATATATATATATTGCTTTGCGTGTCGTGTTCGTGTTTCAACACAGAAACGTGTATGGAGGGGGGAGGGGGGATGTCCGATCCTACGAAAACTCGTTCGTTTCTCTTCGCACGAATTAGAGAGAAATATAACGAGTGTTTACCACCAAATTTTCGAGAGAAATACGTGACAAGTGTCCGCAGGCAGAACGTACAAGATTGTGCGCTACATTCAACGAATCTGTTCTTTTTTTTTTTTTTTACTGATAACTGTAACGAAAAAAAAAAAAAAAGAAAAGGATAAGAAGAAAAAGAGGGAGAGAGATATCGAGATATGTATAATCATGTGTGTACATATATATATATATGTATATACACATATATAGATACATATATGTGTATATATATACACACACACACAACGTACGTATATGTAGAAATATATTGCGCATAAGAACACTGCAACGCTCGAAGACACCAAGAAACGAATAAGCCGTAATGGGTGGAGCAACCCTCACCCCAAGCACGCTATCAACAGCTGCCTCTAAGATAAAATATAAATGAAAAACGAACCAGGTGGTCAACTTACCTACCGTGGACGCGTTGATTCTCGATTCATCGCGATCATCATGCGCTGAGATTCGCAACAAGTTGACCACGTGTTTCATTCTAAAATGTTGTAAAAAAAGCTGTACAAAAACAGACAGACACCGCGACATCGTATTCGCGCCAGCATCAATCCGGCGCTATAGTGACAAAAGTCACGAATAAGACAGCCCGAAACGGACAGAGATGATGATACTTGACCGGTTAAATACGTAAGGTATTCTTACGAATACGGCAGATACATAACCTTTCCGCTCTTCTCGATTTCATCGAGCTCGACCCGGTTCGACGACAACAACGTGCAACAACGTTCCTCTAAGAGCGTACGTATCGCTACTAACAATCTCTAATTATCTATATGGGGACGGGGGGCTGATGGAGGAGGAGGGGAGAGGGGGGGGGGGAGTAAACCGAGAATCGTCTCGCGGCTTTAATTTTTTTTTTCGAAGAAAAAAACACTTCTTCTCCTCCTCAAATTTCGATCGAAGATTCGAAGGGATTAAAGAATATCTCTTCAATCAAAGAAAGAACGAAAGAAAGAAAGGAAATAGCCAGGAAACGTTTCGCGTGTTACTCCCATGCACTCTCTTTCTAAATGCACAAACTTCTCTAAAAAAAAAAAAAAAAAAAAAAGAATACGGTCATTATGCGCTGCGTGTTAGTTTATAATATAGTTGTTGGCTGGTAGAGAAGAAAAAAAAAAAAGTGTCGTGGATCGATCGTCACGTTGCTCTCGTTCTTCTTGCCTCTCCCGTGCCTCTCTGTACGCTGCAATTTTTTTTTCTCTGTACTCACATTTCTCTCGAAGGCTCGATAAGGCGGCGATGTCGAGCGTTGCATTCGACCCCCTCCTCTCCGACCGAGCGTGGACCGCGCTAATTATCAAGTTGGAGAAAGAGAGAGAAGAGATCTATCGAGGGATAGATCAGTCGCGCGTCGTCACTTTAAATCTGAATCGCGTGGAAATCGAAAGGGAGGGGGTGGGGATTGAATCGACGACACACACGCGTCGCCTCGCTCCCGCCGCGTAGCGAAAAGAAAGAAAAAAAAAAGGGAAAAAAAAGGGACGTGGCAAAGGGGAGGTTGAAATCAAAGGGGAGAGAAATAATTAAAAGGGGGGCGGGGGTGGGGGATGATATATTTTGCAGGGTGTGTTCGGACCTGTCCCCGTCGCCGCTACCCTCGCCGTCGCTGCTGGCGGAACTCGGTTGTCGTCCGCTCCTTCCGCTGGCCGTGTCCTCCGGCAATACCTCCTCGCTCCTATGAACTGTAAACGAGGACTTGCCCTTCTTCCCGAATCCTAGCCGCCGTTTTCGTCCTTCGTCGCCCACGCATGTACCACCAACAGACGCACGTGGTATGTTATGGTTTTTGCGTGACGTGACACAGTTTTTTTGTTGTGATTGTAGTAGTAGTAGAAGTAGTAGAAGAAGTAGTTGTTGTAGTGATGGTGGTGGTCGTGGTAGTAGATGTTGTTTTGTTGCAGCGGATGTGATCGTGTTGTTGTTGATTTGCATATATACGATAAGTATATATGCGTGTGTGAAGAGATTATTTTTTTTTTTTTTTTTTCGTTAGTAAAATGTGTGGTGTGCGTATATATACACACACATATTTCATTCGTTGAATTTGATTTGAGTGTATTGTTGCGAGTATATTTTGCGTACAATAGTAGAGCGATCGTTCCAGCGATCGATCGGGGGTGATCCGCGTCGAGTGTTGTCCCGTGACACGATCGCGCGAGCGACGATTATAGCCCGCCACGATGAGAATTCGTGCAGGTGGGTGCAGATCGATGACGTGAATGGTCCCCAGCGTCGAGAGATAGAAGTCGGTTGGTAGAAGTAAAGTGTGAATGTGTTCATGTCGAAGAGAGGCGGATAGAGATGAGGAGGGATGGCGGAGAAAACAAGAATACGATTAGAATGTACATACTGCCCCGTTTTACTGGGTATTTTTTTTTTTTTTTTTTTTTTGTACATCTACGATGCGCTCTCGATATCGTAAGACATCGCGGTTCCTTCGAATTTCTATTATTCGTTCGATCCACGCGAAATTCGAATTTTTTCGAAATCGGTTTTTCGTTTTTTTACAAAGTGTCGTCCCAAGTGATGCGAAAAAAAAAGAAAAAAGAACAAACAACGAGGCGTTGTAAAATTTTAGAAGGAAAGGAGAAAAATTATCTTTGCTCGAAAGCAGCGAGAGCACATCGTAATGTCTACTCGCTAATGGCGCTAAAGCTATTTACGCTACGCTATTTTTACTCGGAAGGGAGACTATCGTTACATTTATATACTGTAGAGACTGACTTAGAGATTTAAGATGACGGATAGAAAGACAGAGATAGAGAAGATAGAGAAGATCTAGATATCGCGCGTGTACGACAAGTATGACAAGTATGAAAAATAAAAATAGAATAGAAACGTTTTCTTCTTTTTTTTTTCTTTTCTTTTTTTTTTTTCTTTTCTTCGCGCGACCGCTCTCGCCGTGATTATCGCGTTTATTACACACATATATATATAAAAAAAAATTATATATATATATTTAACGGACGCGCAGAAGTAAGTTACACAGTTTATACACCGCACGCAAAATATTCTTATTAAAAAAAAAAACGATGATAATCGAAGAAGAAACGACTAGTGTGACGATGTGTTACCTGTGGCGGACAGTTGACTGGTGCTGTTACTCTTCTTCCCCAGACCCGACTGATACTGCACCGCGCTTCCCCCACCGCTGCTACTTCCGCTTCCGCTTTTACTCCCGGGCGAGCTCTTGCGACCCCTTCTCGAGGAGTCCTCGACGTTCAAACCGATCGCCGTGTCGCTCAAACTACCGTCTGAGAAACAAAACAAAACTCGCGTGAATAAGCTCGAACAGGCGAGTATAGCAATAATCTTGTTATATCCAATTAAAATGTCGCGAAAAAGAAAAAAAAACCGAACTCTCTTCTTCCCCTCTCTCCTCCTTCAAAAAGAAGAAGAAGAAAACAAAAAATCCGAATTTGAATTCGAAACGAAATCGATCGATCACGAAAGAGAGAGAGAGAGATGAAAAAGAAAGGAAAAAAAAAGAAAAACGAACGCGAGAAACACGAGTCAGTCGCTCGTTTCGTTCCCCTTTGGATGGAAAAAGTTCGGGGAGGACAGAGAGAGAGAGAGAGAGCGGGATCGTTCGTTGGCGGTCTGACTCACCGACTTTCTCGTCCTGCGGCGCGTCCGTGTTACTGAGACTCCTGGTGAACTGACCCCTTTTACGATCGTCGTGCTCGGTATCGGGTGGCTGGCTCCTGGACGGTTTCTCGTACGAGCCCGACTGACCGGTGTACTCGCTGCTTTCGGGCACGGTGGAGGATCGGCGATCCCGGCCGTCCACGCGTTGGCGGTGGTCGACGGCGGGGCCGTCGGAGGCGTCGTCGGCGGCGGCGGTTTTTTTCCGCGAATGCCGTCGGATGGACGACGACGGGGAGGGCGTGGCGGTCGTGGTCGCCACGGTGGTGGCCGAATCGTTGTAGTCGTCGTAGTTGTCGCGCGGCGACGATTTCGTGTTTCGTGAGGTTTCGTGGTGATCGACGGCCCGTGGGTGGTAGTTTTTAGCAGTGTCGGAGGTAGCGGTTTGGGAATCAAAGAGACTTGAATTAGCGTTACCGGGGTGGGGTGCTCGGTTACGGGGCCTACGCGGATCGCACGGGCCAAATCCGCAGTTCTCGCTGCACTGGCTCTCGCTCTCCATCGAGTACTCGTAGTACTCGAGGGTGTCGCTGATCGCTACGTTCCTCTTACTACCCTGCTGCTGCGCCTGTTGCTGGCTCGGGTGCCGCTGGGCCTGCTGACGCCTTCCCTGCTCCTCCTCCCTCTTCTCGAGCAGCTCGAGATCCCTAGCCTCCGGGCAACTGCTATTTCGCCTACGATAATACCTAACACGCCTCGACGGATCTATCGACGCCCTCCCATCCTCCATCTTACGCGGCGACGAGCCGAACCTACCTAACTCCACGTGACTCGACATCGCTAACTCCCGACACTCCGGGCAGCTCGTCTTACGCCTAGCAACAATCCCTCGATACTCCGACGTTACGATACCCGAACGAGAGGGCGGGGAGTACGAATCCGGGTGATAATACTCGCCGCGGCTCTCCATCGTCGTCGTCGTCGTCGTCGTCGTCGTCGTCGTCGTCGTCGTCGTCGTCATCGTCGTCGCGCCTTCGTCGTAATCGTAACGACCTCTCTCCCCAACCTGTTCGTCGTAGTAAACCGAACCGAACCGACCCTCGCCCCGAATCCTCGTCGCCCCGCCACCGGTTTCCTTTTGGCGGAAACAGTCCGCGCACACGACCGTCTCCATCGAGCCGAAATCCTCGTCCGAGTCCAGGATAAAGTTCGTCCTTCTCTCTTCCTCTTCCATCTGCTCCTCCTCCTTCCTTCTTCGCGGAGGCGCGTCGTAGTGAGAATCGTAGTATCGAAGCTCCCTCGCCTCGGGGCAACTCGTGTTCCTTTTGCGACGATACAGACGCCTGGCCCGCTCGGCCCTCTCCGACGAGCTCAACTCCTCGTCCGAGCGTAGGATCGGCGTCGATTCAGCCCGTTGCAGCATCATCCGTTTGCTCTCGGAGAACGTTGGAACGACCAACGAAGACGTGGTTGCCTGCACGTTCTCGTAAATCCCCGCACCGGCGCTCGCCTCCCTGCTCCCTTCTCGCCTGCTGCCTCTCCTCCTTCTTCGACGGGGGAACGTGTTCTCTCGGTACAAGGCGTCCGCTGCTACTCGCCCGTATTCCGGCCCACTGTGCGCTTCGTAATCGTACTCCTCCGCGGAACGATAATCCCGATAATCGCCGTCGTATTCGCCGTACTGCGACGACCTCCTCTTGCGTCTACCTCTTCCACCGTCCCCTCTCTCCTCTCGTCCACCGTAATAATCCTCGTACATCTCCATCGCAACGTTTTCATCCTCGTCGTAATCGTCCTCGTACACTCGTCGTCCTCGTCGTTGTCGTCGTCGTCGTTGTTGTTGTTGTTGTTCTCGTTGCTGTTGCTGCTCGTAATCGTCCATACTCCCTCTGTCGACGAAACCCTCGTCGTCGTAACCCTCCACGTCCCATTCGTAACCGTCGTAACCACCGTTCTCCAAATACGAATCGCTTTTTCGCGCCGCTGTATCGCGAACAGCGGAAGAGGAACGAGCTCTTCTCCGCCCTCCTCCCTCGGGAGGATCGTAGCGGGATCCCTCGAAATCGGGGACGAGTCGGATCGAGGAACGAGGGATCTTCCTCCTGTCCCGCCCGTATCTCTCCACGGCCTCGTCTATGCTGCAGTATATGTGCTCGTTGTCGGCGTCGGCGAGACTCCTCGCCCGGGATTTCTCCGCCGCGTACGTGGCGGGTACGTCGCGATCTTGGTGAAACGTGGCCGACTCCCCTCTGTACCTTCGTACTTTCGTGGGATCCTCCCGGCCGAGCAGGAGGGGATCCTCCCTACCGGCGAAACCGATCGTTTGATCGTCGCTGCTGAACGAGTTCTCCTCCGATAGGAATTCGTAGGAATCCCGGGGATAACCGTCGATAACCGTCGCCGGGACGGTCGAGCTCGTGTCCAATCCCTGCTTGTCGACGAAACGCGGCATGTAAATCTCGGTCTCGCCGCAGCTGAACTCGGAATCGTAGCCGTAGAACGGTTTGTGATCCTGTTTCAGCATGTAGTCGTAATTCTTCTCGCGGTCGAGCAGAATGTTGGTGGGCATCTTGTTGTCGTCGCCGTTCGAGTCGAAGTACGATTTGCTCTGGTCGCCGAGGGCCGGTATCTTGTCGCCGTAACCGGCGTCGTTGATGGCGAGATTCTTCTTCAACTTACGGCGGGCCGTCCTCAGGCTGTCGTCGCTGAATATGTTGCTCGAGATCGTGTCGTACTCGAAACTCTTTGCCCTACGCGAGAGCGTGCCCGCTCCTAGTCCGAAACCGGCGTAACGATCGGCGTAGGTGTCGTGGAGCACGTCGTAGTCGAAGCTCCTAGCCTTCGAGAATAAAAAAGATCTACGCGGCCGCAAGCTAACGTCTAGATTCCTAATGCCGAGATCGTCCGTAACAACGTCGTGCAACAACCCTCTCGAGAACAAGTGGTGCCTAGATTTCGCGCTTCTTCCGCCACGATCTTGCCAGCTACGCGACCGTCTACGAGCGCCGGCCTCCAGTTGATAGGGCGACGACGAGTATCTGTCGCGAAACTTCTCGATGAGGCGATCGTTGAAGTCGACCTGAAGGCAATCCTCCACGTATATCTCCGGTATACGTTTCTTTGAGCTACCCGTAAGCTCCTCCGGCTTGAGCATGTAACCCTCGGAGACGCTGTACTCGCTGGTCTCCGGGCTGTAATATCTCAGCATGTTCTCGTCGACTGTCTGCGACCTCGTGAACGGCGTACGCATCTTTCTGTACAACGAGCGCACCACTGCGGACTTGCTCCGTACGAGGGGATGCGGGGTGGGATTGTGCTTGCTGGGGTTGTTGCTCCTGGGCTTGGTGGGATTGTTGTTCGGACAGTGACATTCGCTGCAGGGTACCCTAAGTCTGTGCCTGCGCCTATTGCGCCTAGGGGGCAGGGGCATTGGGGATATGACACCGGGTATTAAAACGTTTTTAACTGTCGGTCTGCAAACAATGTTTTTCATATATAGAGTTTTAGCGCTTCTGCGATTATCAGGTTAAATTCGATTTTCTTTCGAGCCCATTCTTTCATCTTTTCTTTTCTTTCTCTTTCTATTTTTTTTTTCGTTCATCATCAAAGAATAAAAGAAGAAGAAGAAGAAGAAGAAGAAGAAGAAAAAGAAGAAGAAAAACGTAGACGTTCTACTCGCGCGTTCGCGATCGATCGAACGCGTTCTCTTTTTCCTTCCGCTCTCGCTTATCCCGACTTTTCTTTCCTCTTTCTTTACTCTTTCTTTTCCTTTCTCTTTTCCTTTTTCTTTCCTCTCTCTTTTTTCCTTTTCTTTTTTTCTCGTCTCTTTTCGTTTCGATCAAAGCGAGCAAAAAGAACGTGGCAAAGAAAGAAGAATTTTCGATCTCCCGATTAATTTTGTCGCATCTTGTCACTCGCCCGAACAAATATATACATACGTATATACATATACATATATATATAAATGCAGGTTTATGTCTGCAGGTAGGACGTGCGACGATTGATTTATCGATACTCTTTGTACGTACGTATATAAACAACGTTATTACAACAATTGTGAAACGTGTTTCAACGTGTAGATATACCTAGCCGTTCGACCAACGCCACGCACTAATCCCTGCTTTATTAGAATGGGACGATATTAAATGGACATTGACACGGTGCATAGGAGGTGCAAGTTCTAGCCAACTAAACGCAGGTAGAAAGAGAGAATCCTCGAAGAGAGCGCGGAAGGAGTAACGGGGTAAACCTATCAAGCAGGCGGCGGCGGCGGCGGCGGCGGCGGGGGTGGGGGGGGGGAGATGAGACGAGTGCAACTACGGGATGTCATTTCATTCGGCAATGTCCATTTAATTCCAGGGATTATCGTCGATGAGAAGGTAAGCCATCAAATGTTCCATTCTGTGCACACGGTGTACATGGTCCATCGACGAGCAATAACGATTATTAATTATATATATACACACACACACACACGGGGAACGAAAGCGTTTTACTCTATTCTTCTCTCAGCTGTGGAAAATGCATGGATTGGAAGAGGGAGAAGAGAGAAACGAGAGGAGACGCGAAAAGAGAGAGAGGAGGGGGGGGGTGGGGAAGGAAGGATTTTATTGCACGATTCAACCGAATGTCACGTAAAAATGGTACAGTGGATGGCTGTCTCCTCTAAAGGGATAATTTCTTCTCTATGGAAATTTGTCTTGCTTTGTACACTGATTTTGAAATGCAAGGTCATTGACTCGACAAAATAATATATATATATATATATACATATATATACATATAAAAAAATAATATATATATATATATATACACACACACATATAGTACAATAGACATCGAACTATACTCACATTAGTCCTCTAGAGCCACGTGGTCGTTCCGATTGCGTACTGAAGGCACTGCTCGTCACGGAGGCTACACTCTCCATATCGGAGTCACCGAGATCTCCAAGTACGTCTTTGTCAGGACTTAAGTGTCCCCTTCGCGGTCTGTGCATTCGATAAGCGTGACTGTGCGGCAACGATAACGGATCGTGATCTATCGAGAGTAGATCCGAGTCCGACAGACCGCTGTAATGTCTTTCCCAACCTGGAAAAAGCGAGAATCATCCCCCTGTGAGGGTATTCGTCGATTCCTGCCGCGCGTGAATTCCGTTCTTTCGACTGGAGAAAATAAGATACGCGTAATCGAAAACTATCGCAAAATTGTACACCTCCGAAATTTTATTATACCGCGTCAAAAAGATATCCAAATATCCAATTTAATAACATCGTGTATACGAACTCGTAACTCGCCCCGGCCGAAATTTCGGGAAACAGGGTCAATTAGGGTTGCGGATTTTCACGAGGTTATAATGTTCTCGTATCTCTAAAACTGGTATTCGAAAACTTTCGAATTAATATTCCGCGGCGAGGGGATCGTGTGTAAAAGTAGCACGAGCTCTCACCTCCCATGCCCGTACTCCTGTACGTGTGCACCTGCCTACTTCGGTGTCTCATGAATCTGGCCCGCTCCTCGAGGTCCTGGGCGGCCCTTTCCTTCAGGGCGGATGGGATCAGAGGCAGCTGCCTCTTCTTCGGGCTGCCGGTGGGAGTGGCTGTCGCCGACCTCGAGCTGAATCTGGAGGAAAAAAAGAGAAATCAGCGTTGTATCCCGTCCCGATAACGAAGCTCGTTGGCTCTCTTCGCGTACCTGGGTGGAACGAAGCCGTGCGAGTAGGGCATGGATCTGTGCTCGGGCGGGGACAGAGAGCGATGACCGGTGGGACTTTGGGACCTTCCGCGGTACCGAAGGCTCGGCGAGTCCATGGGTGCTGCACTGTGCGACCTGTGGCTCATCATTCCTCGATGAATATCGTCCTGGGGATCAAACGAATTTAACGTCAACCGTCCGTACTCCATACCCATACCCGTTCCGTAGATGGGAACGAATCGATAATCGCGTCGAAACACGGATAACAGCGTGTGCAAAAGGAAGCTATAGCCCACGAAATCATTGTTAATTTGAGGCACACATTTCCTTCGATTCGTCTCTTTTTTACCAAAATTTTCTTTTTTTTTTTTTTTCTAACAAACGATGACTCGAAATCAACGTGCGATTCCTCCAACTACCGATCCGTTCCTCGACCGATCGTTAAATTCTCGAGAGAACGGGGAAATTTGGGTTGGGGAAAACGTGTGGAAATGACGCAGCAACGACTCACCTTGCGATAGGTCTGGTAACCAGAAATAGACGCCGGTTGATCCCGTATAAGGGCCCGTTTACGCCCCTGCGGCGACATGTCCCTTCGACTTCGATGCTCCCCGTCCATGCAGAGCTCCCTTTCCGGCGGGGGGCTAGAATAGTGGCTGCTCCGGCATGCGTTCATTTTTTCGCCGATTAGTGATCGTCGTGTTATCCTTTTTTTTTTTCTTTTTTTTTTTTTCTTTTTTTTTCTTTTTACAGATGCGTTTAAAATATGGGCGGAGGGGTAAGGCGAGTGCTTGTGATCTCTCGCGCTAGATTACAGAGTGCATGCGGCCAGGCTGGTTCTCATTGGCGATGCTTTATCAAATATGCATTCTCTACACTCTGCGCGTTGCAACCGTGGCGCGGTTCTATCCGTACGACTGGTCACACACGAACGAGCTCGGTAAGCGACAGACCATGGCACAGAGGACACGCTCTACTACGTGGCGGAAACAATAATGGATAAACGCAAGAAGGTGTTCTCCGTATTTGGGGTAAAAGAAAAAGAAAAAGAAAAAAAAAAAACGAAAAAGGCGATCTCGATAGCCGAAGTACTTCAAAGCCCAAAGCTCGGGCCAGCTTGTTCCTTTCGAATATTTCTACCGTACGTTTCTATATATATATACACATATACGGTGCATAAAAGGGTTTTACGAGCGTTAACCGTCTCAATCCTTCTCGTGGAACAATTTACTCGATCTTCGAATAATCGTGGCCCTTTTGAACGGAGCCGAGATCGAATGGAATTTCGAGAAACGAAACGAACGATGCACTTTAATCGAACATTTTATATCACGAGTTTCTTCCATCCGTGGAAGATATCGTAGGAGAGGAATTAATTTCGATGCAACGCTGGTATCGATCCACGCGAGGCGGTAATGCGAGCGGTCGCGATCCACGCGCGTAACTACACCCTTAGTTGCCAATAAAAGCGGGCCGAGTCCGCTTGGACCGCTCTCGGTATCCTTCCCGCGGTGGAGGGGCGGGTTGTTGGCAAGAAGCTACTCGGTAAAGAAAGGGTGGTTTGGCTGCTGTAAACAATGGTCGGCTGATCAACCGAGCCAAATGCGTAGGAAACGGCGGCGGGGCGAGATTGATCGCGCGCGAATCAACCAGCCGACGCGATTCCGCTTCCTGGCAACGATGGCAACGCCAATAAGCATCGCGGAACTGGACGTTGCCCAACGACGAATTTCGAATCGGTGGAAAAGAAAAGGAAAGAAAAGAAAAGAAAAGCATTCCGTCCGGAGGAGGACAGAAGGGGGAGGGGGAGGGAAGAACAGAAACGGAGCCACCCCGGCCGATGCATCGCGTTTGCACTAAGCGTTACTAAAAAGCCATGTCCTCGCGCAAATCTAAGTCTCGTTTTTCTTTCTTTTTTTTTTTTTTAAACGTTGAAGAGATGCAAGAAGCGATGACATGATGACGCCTACGTGTGTCTACATGATCGGTGACCTACTGAATCTCTGCGCCTAACTAACTCGTCTTTTTTTCCCTTTTTGCGCTTTTTTTCTTCTTCCCTTTCTTTTCTTTTTGTTCTTTTCTCTCTCAATTTTTCACTCGTACTCGCTCGTCCAATCGTCTCCGAGTGATGGCGAGTCACTCGACGAGAAACGAACCAAGGTAACTAAGGTTTCTCCTCGAAATGCCGAACTCGTTTTTTCTTTTTTTTTTTTCTATTTCTATCGTTTGCACGCGACAGAGACGATCCGCGCGCAAGCAGAGGGGAACACCGAGAGGACGAGAGCGGAAGCAACCACGAGCGGCTAATACGGGAAGTGGAGCTGCGTGATCCCTTTACTTTGGAAGCGACTACGTCTCGAAGGGTACCGTATCTATCTCGGTTGCACGCTCGCTTTAACGAACGCTCTGCCGACGCCCTCGCGCGAATATCCGACATTTCCACGTACGCAGATAGAGCACACCCCCCTCCCCCAGTTCGAATATTATTTCGATGTTATAGGATCCGACGTTATATTCGAGAAGTTTCCTACCGAAAGTAAGGAAAGGCGGCTTATCGTGCACGAACGTGTAGATTGGCTAGGCTCGAAAGATTTCCCCAACGATTCCATTCGTCGATGAATTCCTCCTGTTCTTGTTGTTGTCGTCGTTGTTGTCGTCGAGTTCGAGCGAGTTTTTATCGTATCGTTGATGGGTGCGTGGAGGATCGAACCAGAGATTGTTTCCCTAGAGTAGATTTCCCTCGTTTCTCGCCGATAATAATGACGCGCGAAACTCCGGCGTGGTCGTTAGTCGGACCTCGTTTCGAGGAGGAACGAAAAAAAAAAAAAGAAAGAAAAGGTGGGAAAAATACGGTCTGGCGCACATTTCCGATCTCTTTGAAATACGGCATCCCTCGTTTCTTTGACTCTTTTTTGCCAGCCATCTCGTCGATCTGACTCGTCGCGACTCGTCCCGTCGCGTTGGTACCCCTCCCTCTAACAACTCGGGCAACACCTCGGGTGTCGATCGTGTCGTACATACGTAGAGGAAGGAGGAGGGTGGAGGAGGGAAGGGAGGTCTTTATCTACACACGCGGAACGCTACCTTCAACCTACCTAGCATGGCGAGGATGCAAGAGGACGCGCGTGCTTTGCGTGCGTTTCGTGAGAGAGAGAGGAGGAAATATAATAATATAATATCTTTTTAATGGCCGTACCGCTTATAATTTGACGGCATATTATGAAACCTAAAAGATAAACAAACAAAGAAGAGATAAATAAGAAAGGAAATCGATCGAGCGGGGGAGGAAGGGGGGGGAGGGGGAGGGAGGAGGATGATCATTACGGAAACGTAATCATCGTTGTAAACGTCATCGTCGTTGAACGATGACGGAAGGAGTGGGAAGAAAAGGTACACGTGTCCCCCTCGAGGAAAGGAAAAAGAAAAGAAAAGAATAAAGAATAAGTAAATAAAAGAGAGACGGGGAGGGGAGGGTGAAAGGGAATTCGTAGCGGAGGAAAGAAAGAAAGGAGAGTAATCTGATCGTGCGACACGTCGCGGCCGCCGACTCGACCGACGATGGATTTATTAATGTGTAACCAGTGAAACCCCTTTGGATAATCCTGTTAGACGATATTGAAGGTTATTAAATATCTCTGGCAGCCCGCACACGCTCGCCTCTCCCTCGAACGTGTGTCGCCTCGAACGTTTCAATTATTGCTGCGCGCGCGTATCCCTTTTCGCGGGCTCGTCATCATCATCATCAAGGGAGGGGGATGGAAGGAAAGGGAGAGGGGGAAAAATTGGTCAGCGACTCGCAGATTGAGGCCATCGTGGATTAACGAAGCACGCGCCGTTCCGATTCGTTTCTACAGATTCCTCGACACGACCTCGAGAGACGGCAGAGAATGAATCGTCGCTCCTCGCCGCGTGTGCTCGAAATATAATGAAAAATTGAACGTATCGACAGAGAGAGAGAGAGAGAGAGAGAGAGAGAAGGAGAGATGACGGGGAACTCGCGAAAGTTTCGAGCGGAAGATCGGCCAACTTTCCTCGGTCATTCGACGCTGCGTCGTGCAATTTTCAACGAGCACCGCCAACTTTCGGATATTATTATTCGAGCACCCTCGAATCGAAGAGGGTCGGGGCACAGATAAGGCGATTGATTACAAACGAAAGCGAACGAGGCGAGCGTGCAGGGAAATCCCGAACAGGGCAATCGCATTTGCTCTTGTTTCTAGGAGGAATCGAGAGAGGAGAGAGGAGGGCGAGAATTTCCGCGGAATAAATTTACAAAAGTTGGGGGAAAAATTGGTGGAGAGAGATTTCGAGGCAATGAGAAAATTTTGTTTGTACGAATCCCGAGTGGGTGGTAACCTCGTGGTGGATCTTCGAGGCAAATGTTCATCGAGATGAGCATCGAAACGATACGACGATGACCGCGCGCACTCTGAACACTCTTTTCCTCGCTCCTTTTCCTCGCATCACACGCGATGTGACTCCACGAGTTTTCACGTTTCTTTTTCACGTCTCACTTGTGACGTATGTTGAAATAAACCCGTCGAATCTCTCGTCGAAAAAACATTCCAAAGTAGAACGGATAGTGTATTGTCACACGGATCCTCGAACGTTTAAAAAAAGGAGTCGATCAACTGGTCACGGGCCCATGCCCCCGCGAGCCAATGAATCCGAAAGATACCGGTGCTCACAAAATTCGAGGAAATTGCACGAATTGCGGCAAAAAACTTTATTAAGCGTCTCGTTCAAAGTGGATTTGTTTAGACACGCCGTTCGACGCGGGGTTACCATCACCGTCCGTAGCCGTGGGCTTCGAATCTCGTCCTTTTCGCTTTACCTTTTCTTCCTTTTTTTAATCTCTCTCTCTCTCTCTCTCTTTTTCTCTCTCGCTTTCTCCAATTTGCTCGCCCTTTTCTCGTTTTTCTCACCCCTTTCGCTTCAACTCCGCAACTTTCGGCGATAATCGTTATGTTATTCTTTTATTCCTTCCCTCCCTTCGGGAAAAATAAAGGATCGGAATGGCTGGATGCACGAAGAAGGAAGCACTTTGCACTCACAAATAACGATCGGACGTCATCGTTGGAATATTAATATGGATACGGGGCTCGGAGGCTGGCTTCCGCAGCCAGCGGTGGTTGCAGGCCAACTGGCATGTCAATTGGCTTGTTGCCCAGTTTTATAACTTGGCTCCCGGCTTCTCTTTCTCTCCCTCCCTCCCTCTGTTCTCACTCTCTCTCTCTCTCTCTCTCTCTCTCCTCTCTCTCTCTCTCTCTCTCTCTCTCTCTCTCTCTCTCTCTCCTCCTCCTCCTCCTCCTCCTCCTCCTCCTCTCTCTCTCTCTCTCTCTCTCTC